TTTGCAATCACTTACTCAGATAGTTCACTTGGTGACCCGTTTTCCTTACAACCCTAATCATTTAACTTCACACTTGATTTATGTCTGTTCTCTAATCCTAGCTTGTGTTCAATTTCTCCTTTTTCTCTTTTAGGTGCTTTTGACCATGTTATGATCTCTTTAAATCTTTCATCTCATACTTCCTTTTCTGACTCACCCTATCACCGCAATACTTACTACTAACATATAGCTGACAGGGATTCTTTTTGTGATTTTCTTTGTAACAGTACTTCGACTGATATCTTTTCCTTCTCAGCTCAAAAATGTGCCTCCTACATAACCTTTTGGATTCAAGCAGTTATAGAAGCATTTATTCCTTTTCATCAATTCCAATTCAAACCTCATTCTACTCCATGTTTTTCACCTTCTTGTGGAGCAGCTATATCTAATCATTTTTTTCATCTTTTTCAAAAGAGCAACTCTCTTGAGAACAATCGCTATTTATTCTTCCAAGAAATCAATGTAAAAAGGTTCTGTCAAATGCTCAGCTCGATTATTTTTAGCTCAATAAATCTTTATCTTATCTCAAAAGTTAGGCTTTAGAGACTTTTAGAAAATCTTTTACAACGTTAACAAAGGTAGGTCTAACATTCCATCTCTCATTCATAGGACTGATCTTATTACCTCTTCCATGGATAAGGAAGAACTATTTGAAAATAACTTTTCTTTTAATTCAACTCTCGAAGCTTTAGGCATTCTCTTCCTTCCATTCTAATTAAACAGGTTAACCCATTGTTAGACATTCAAATCACTCCAGATTCCGTTGCTAAATTCATATCTTGATTAAACTCTTCTACAGCATGTGGTTCATACAACATTCCTGTCATAGTCTAACAAAATTGTTTTCCAAAACTCTTATCAATTCTCTCTAAACTATTTAAAAAGTGCTTGACTGAGTCTTGTTTTCCTGCCTGCTGGAAAATGACAAATTTATTTTAATTTATTTTAATTTATTATAATTAATTAAAAATTTTCCAATTTTTAAAAACTCTGGTGAATATTCTAATTCTTCCAATTATCATCCAATCAGTCTTCTTTCTGTTTATCAAGGTCTTTAAGCCTTTGATAAACAAATTTCTCACATCCTATCTAGAGTTAAATAACTTAATGTCAGACAATCATTACGGATTTCGATCCTCTCTCTCTATGGCTGACTTGCTGGCATAGAGTGAAAGGATCGAGTGATTGGCATGCTGGTTTCTCCATAAGGTTGTTTCATATGGTATATCTTGGAAAGTTTTTAAGATTATCAAATCTTTTCTTTCTAACCGCCTTATTAAAGTCATCCTTGAAGGCCAACTCTGTTCTTTATTTCCAGTAACTTCTGAAGTACCTCAAGGTTCTATCCTTGGTTCTGTTTTATTTATTATCTACATTAATGCTCTTCCTGACAACCTTACATCTAAAGTAGGCTAATGACTCAACTTTACACTCCTGTCTTGACCAAAAATTTTCTCTTTTTGATAACTTAAAGGTGCTCACAGTGGCTTGTAAATTTTAACTCTAACAAAACTCAGTTATTTACTGTAAACAACCATCACAGTACTGTCAACATTCCTATATTAGTGAATGGTAACCCACTCACTGTGTCCTCTTTTCTACATCTTCTTGGATTATTGTTTACTGCTGAGCTTTCATGGAAACCATATACAATCGATTGCTAAGTTAACGTCTGCTAAGGTTACTTCTCTTTATTGTGCTTGCCATTTTTTCTCTCCTAATTCCATTCTCTACATCTACAAATCTCTTATTTGTCTCTGTATGGAATACTGTTGTCATATTTGGGCTGGTACTTCTAATGATGCTCTTTCTTTTCTAGACAAAGTCCAAAAACGCATTGTAAACATAGTTGGACCCGGTCTATCTGCTAAGCTTGAGCCTCTTTCCCATTGTCATAAAGTTGTATCTCTTTCTCATTTCTACAAATATATCATGGCCGCTGCTCAAAGAAGCTTTCACCTCTAGTTCCATAAACTAAAACTCATTCTCACTTGACTTGTCATTCAGCAAAGTCTCATTCTTACACTGTATCTGTCCCTGCATGCTCCAAAAACTTTTATTCATCTAGCTTTTTTTCCCACACTTCTTCCCTTTAGAACTCTCTCACATCTTCATATTTTCCTGACTCATACAACCTTCAAGTCTTCTGTCAACCATTTCCTTGCTCTATAACTCTATTCTTTTTTTCTAGTAACTCTCAACTTAATAGTGGTTGCTTGCAGCCTTGTTAGAAGTGAATCAGAATTTGAGAAAAAAAAGATTAGCCTGTTTGTTTTTAGGACAAATATATTATGCATAACTAAAATATTTATAATTTATCAAATAACACAAAAAAAGACATTAAAATAGTTTATGCCATTTTGGTTGTATGTATACAGAATATTTAAGTTTCATAATAAACAAAGCCAGAGGTAATCAGAAAGGTCAAGAAAACCATGCAAAATTTAAAAGAAAACTTGATAACTTGTTCAATATAAGTCATGCAGCATTTAAAAAAACACTGTGTATCATTATCATAAAGAAACTGCTGAGCAAATAAAACAGCTTTATGGAGCATAAAAATCTGTTGTACACTAACAGAGAATATTGATACCTGATGTCTTTAACAGTTTAACTCTAAAAGATTGTCTACATGTCCTGCTGACATCTGATTTCTAACTTCTTGGAATCTCGGCATTATTGTTTCGGCATTAAAGCACTTCTGAAAAAAGTGGAACTTCTAAGCTTGTCACAAATCCATTGGCTGCTTCAGATTGTTTGATTTAGAATTTTGTTAATTTTAAATTAATTTAAAACTCAGAAGCATTTAAAGAATATTGAGAATTTTTTCTGAAGGTTGGATATATATTTTTACGCAGAACTTCAGTAGATACAATCATTAATGACATACAGTTGATCAATAGATTGAAGAGTTATGGTGACACAGCTGTAAATAAGATTGGGTTGAGTTCCTGGTGTTTCAGTCTAATAATAGCTATTGTTGCCAATTATTGGTCACTTCTATCGAGCAGAGAGAAAAAAAGCTGGTTGATGACATAATAGTTTTCGTGAACTGGTGAACATTTAATAAGAACTGAGTTTTGACTTGTAATGGACAAACCTTTCCTTTATTTTTGTTAAGTCTGTAGTTATTACTATTAAATTGAGTTAAGTCAAAATGAGGTTTGCAAAGCGTTCAATTTTCTGGATCTTTCACCCCTGAAAACATTTTCTACCAAACTTTTTAGATAACTAGCTTAATTTTTTTTTATTTCAAAAGTTATTTTTTCTGGAACATTCTAATATACATGTTTAAATGTTATTATGCATGTATGTATTTATTTATATATGTGCATATGTTTAACTGATATATTTATGTAAAAAAAAAGGTTTTACATGCACTGAGTCTATTTGAAATGTAAGAATTTCAAAAATTTTAATCAAATCAAAAATAATTTAGACAACACTTTTTTGCTATATTTCATTTATGATTTTTTGTTTGTGACAAATGAAAAATGTTATCAGCGTTCGAAATAATTAAAAAGTAGACTATCAAATAAATTTTCTGACAATAATTGGTTAAAAACTTCATTTAAACTGAATTTAGATTTTTAAAAACAGCTAAAAAATAATTAAAACTCCCTAAAACTATGCAGTATTTCTTTGTTTTTAGTAGCTGTGGCGCAGTGTAGATAGCTCGCCTCAGAAACAAGAGAGGGCGCGTTCTCTCTCGTTTCTAAGGGGGCTAGCCCCTCCCCCTACTTTTTTTTTGTGTGGACCTTCTTTCTTTTTTTTTAAAAGAAACTGGCGCTTTTTATAAAAAATTGAGGAATATTTTTTGAAATGAGGTAGCATACCCCCACTTTGAAAACCATATCGTCGGCCCTGCGAAAACCATTGGTTTCTTGTTCTATTTCCCAAACTTCATGGGGGAAAAACTCAGTTAAAAATCATCTATGTTGGTTAAAAGGTTGTTGGTTTAAACGTTTATTTATCTTGCAATCTAAACAATAAAAAGAAGCAATTACTTTTTTTTATGTCTATTATGTTTTTGTCTGCTAAAAATATTTTTTAAAGATAACCCAGTGCCGAGTACATCAACAAAATAGCTGGTTTCGGGTACCTGGTAAAACTGCCGAATTACAGGGTCCTGGGTCTAAACTGGGTACCCAGCACATCTCTAATTGTTTTAATATTTTTAACAATTTTTAATTAGTTATTTTTTATTTATAAATTAAAAAATGGTTTCTTAAGGATTTTAATTAACATTTTTAATTAACATTTTATTTAGTTTTATAATTTTGATTGACTTTTTAAAAATATTTTTTTTAAATAATTCTCTCTAAATGTTTGTTTATCTGAACAAGTGCTAACTTCCTGAATTATTTACTATGCCTGTCTGATTCTAAAATTATCTGTCTGGCTAAATAGTTCTATTGTTAAAATGTATCAAGTTCCAATTAAAGTTCATGTGGCTTTTATTTATTGTCTGCTTCTATGAATTATGCTAAGTAGGATGTAGTATATTAAATAGTTTTTTATTTTTGTTAAATTTTTCTATGATTTATTTTAAATTTTTGTTGAAGCTTATTTGAAAGAGTATTCAATGTATTTAATAACCTCAACTCCTTTAAATTAAAGTTTAAAATTTTTAGTTGAAAATGGCCCTTTCAAATGCAATTATTAGTGCCCATTTACTTTCTTAATTCAAACTTGGTACCAAAACTGCAAATGCTTGTGGTAAGAAATGCACTGTTTTAGGAGAGTGTACTGTAACTGAACAAATGGGTCAGAAGTTAAAAAAATTTGCTTTTGGAGATAAAAACTGTTAAACGGACCTCACTCCGGAAGATAATTAATGATCAACTATGACAAATTGAATCAAGCAGGATTCAAGTCAGACAAGCCTAGTGTTTGCCTTACATTTGCAGAAGCTTGGAAACAATGGAAGTTAAGCAAATAGGTACCACACAAATTAAATAAATCAATAGAATCAAGCAAGATACTCTGGTGTGAAAATAATGGGAAGTTTTACCTCACTCTCAATATTCACCAAATATTGCCTTAAGTGACTACCACCTAGTTTTGTATTAGACAACCATATGTGGCATTGTCGATTTCAAAATAAAGTGGTTTCAGGAATTGATTTAATACAATTCTTCAATTTTTAAAAAGTAAGATTTCTACAAAATGGAATATATGGTTTTGTGTCTAGATAAGAAAAGTTAATACTTGCTAATAGTTAAAAAAAGCATAGTTTTAAAATAAATCTAAGTTAGACCCATTTTTTGTATTACTATTTCTTAACCTTCAAAACCGTTCAAACTTTTTTAGTTGCTTGGTATTTAACGTTATGTACTTCTTATTTATATCTAAAGTTACTTTTTTGTGCTTCTTTAAGAATAAAGTTATTGAAATCTTCATTCTTTAATTTGATTTAATAAATTAGTCATCAGATTGATCTTATGATCTTATGTCTTGATCTTATGTCTTGTATCTTTGTACTGTGCTGCATTTTGTGATATTTTCATGCACAGCAGAGCAATTTTCTATAAAACAAAAATTTTCCAGACATGGTTTAAAAAAATGTGAATATAAATTTTTCATGGAGGCTTGGCAATTGATCAAGTTTAAACCCCAGTTTTGACTGGATTTAAAAAGCAGTAAATATAAAAGTAGAGTATTTTAAACCCAACCTTGTACGCTTGCCAACCTGGCAGGCTTACCAACCTTGTAGGCGTTTCCTATTTGCTAGAAGATCAAAGAAAAACCATAACAAAAGCCTGTCACCATAAATCAACACTACAATTTAGTGAGCCTTTTGCTATCTCAATGCTGCAAAGAATAGAGATTGTTCTGAAAGTTTAAGGTGCTCATTCCAAGTATTAAAACATGTTTTAAACCTCGAATATAATTTTGTATGTTTATGTATGTTGTTTTATAAATTATCAAGTTTTTTAGTAATAAATGTGTACACTATACAGATCAAAAACAGTTTTTGTATTAAAGTGTATAATAAGTAATAATAAGTTTTTTTGTACAATAATTTATTGTAGTATCTTGTAAGTTGCGGTAGTGGTGTAGTGGTAGAGCGGTAGTGGTGTAGTGGTAGTGGTGTAGCGGTAGTGGTGTAGTGGTAGAGCGCTCGCTTCATAAACGAGTGGTTCCGAGTTCGATCCCTACCACGTTCCTGGTAGTACCGCGCTCAACTCGTTTCTCCGCGCAACGGCCTTGTTCGTCAAGGTTCCTGTTTCGGAGTTATAGAGTTGAGAGAGGGTTATAGCCACAAATAAGTAGCCTCCTCGTCTGTAGTGGCCTTCTCGGCCTTGAGGAGGTGAATTAAAATAAATAAAAAAAAAAAAAAATAAAAGTTATTTACTTGTAAGTTATTATTTTATATTATTTAATTTTAAAAGTTTCTTAAAATTATAATAAGAGATAAGATTATTTGATTTAAAAAGTTTATGTACAGTGGCTTGCTATAATGCCACTAAGTAATGCTGAATAAAAATCTTTAATCATAAAGTTTAACTTGATTTTGGTAACTTGGTAGACAAGATCAGTATCAGGAAATTCTTAATGATAGACTGATACCACAGTGGGTACAACGGTTCCATATATATATATATATATATATATATATATATATATATATATATATATATATATATATATATATATATATATATATATATATATATATATATGTATATATGTATATATGTATATATGTATATATGTATATATGTATATATGTATATATGTATATATATATATATATATATATATATATATATATATATATATTAAAAGTTTTTTTTTTCTTAAGTTAAGTATAAAACGCTCTGTTTTATACTTAACTTAAAAAAATATATATTTGTCAAATATTGAACACTCTACAACGATCAAGAGTTTAGTATTTTTAATATCAAACAACAATAAATATACTTGTTTTTCAGTTATATATTATCTAATAGATAATAATGCAGAAAATGTTTTGTAAAAATAGTTTTAAATCTTTTTGTAGACAAAATTCCCAAAGTTGAACAAAATGCTGTTGAAAAACTTGATATCAAGGAAATAGGCGATGCTATGTCTGGGTATGTATCCATTTGATTTTTAAAGATTAGTTAGTTTACATTGGCAAAATACAATTATTATTTCTTAAACACTAAAATTTATAATTTTTTAACTAAATTTAATGTTTTTTAGATTGTGTTGTATTTTACTTTAATAAAAATTTTACTTTACATAAACAAAAATAGTTAAACATCTAGTTCATCAAAAGCTAATTAAATTTTTATTTTTATATTTTTGATTAGAAACATTTTTAAAAAAATTTATAAAATTTAACCTAGGCAAATTAATTATTCTAAAAACAAAGAACTTTTCAACATGCAATATTTTTAAAGTTGTGTATTTTACATACCAAGTTAAAAAACTTATTAGCAAATAATAGACACACACATATTTAATAACTTAAAACTTATTTCATAAACAGTTCTCAAAATTTGTTTGTTTAAATTTGTATTACATAACATATTTTGAAAGTATTAAACAATTTTTTAATTTAATAATTTAAACAATTTCATACAAGTTAAAATTTCAAAAGTTTTTCTTATAATTACTTTTTGAAATAATTTCAAAAGTTTTTCTTATAATTACATAAAATTACTTAATCTCGGAGCTTGGAGCTTGGATGCTATTTTTAAACTTTTTAATTTAGAAGAAAACGTTTCACAATGAAGAAGAATGAACTTTTATATATAATAAAACATATATAAAAAAAACTTTTTAAAAACAACATTTTAAATAAAAAATAAATAAAAAAAACTATTTAAAAACGACATCTTAAAAATGGACTTAAAAGTAAAAATCAAACTATTTCATAGGACCCTTCTAGGACTTTGTGTACGTGCACAACCCGAAATAGCCATCAAAGTAAATGACTGAAAAAGTTGGGCATCTAAGTACAAATCTTTTCTATTGGTGCCCAACATTTTAAGTCATTTACTTTAATGGATATTTCAAGTTGTGTACATACACAAAGTCCTAGAATCCTATGAAATAGTTTATTTTTTACTTTTTATTCCATTTTTAAAATGTTGTTTTTAAAAAGTTTTGTTTATATATTTTTTTAGTTTGTTTATTTTTTGTTTTAATTACTTTTCTTAATGATTTCTTTTATTTACGCTAAACCAAAGTATGTTTGGCGTTATTTGTTTTAATTACTTTTTTAAATGATTTTTTTCATTATTACCGCTAACCTTGTGTTTGTTTTGCATGGACACCAAAAAAAATAAAATGAACAAACCGAAAAAAAAGCAAGTTAAAAAAAATGTTGTAACAATAGGAAAAGATGCAAAACAAAATAGTATTTATAAAATAATCGTTTTGATAAAAAAACAATTTATGTATAAGCTAAAGTAATGTTTAAAAAATTTAGTCAAATGTAACATTCTTTTTAACAATTTTTCTAGGAAATATTGAGGATGCTTAGGAAAATAAATATCAAAAAAACAACCTTTGTTGACGATCTTTTCTCTGATGTGTTTACAATATGATACAAAACATTACAATTTGTAACAAAACTTAAACTAAATCATCATAATCATTTTTTCAAGAGCTTTTTTTTCTAAATACCAAAAAAATCCACAAAAATGTGGCCACCAATCCAATTTTATATTTTTAATATTAATTTTTTAGCAGTATTGAATATAGTATCTCATTTTTTTGTAGTTAGATCTTTTATTTTTAAGTTTTATTTCAAAGACGAAACTAATGACGAAAATAAAAATTTGTCAAATCTTTGTTTTGAATTAACGATTAATGTTTAATACTTTATAACTTCTTATTGTAAAATTTTAAACTCCTATAAAAAAAGATGGGTACAGACTTTTTTCTTTATTAAGTGTCTACTAAGTTTTTATTAAATTTTGTTCCAAACTATCTGCAGCTTGTTAGACCCATCACCCTGTTATTTTATTTTAAAGAAAATAAAAATTTGAATTTAAAATATTTTTTCCTATAATAAAAAAAATTTTACCTTTAAATTAAATGCGCAGACTTAACTAATTAGCTAAGCACATAAATACCTCTATCTTGACATGTATAAAAATTTTACCACTGTTTTGATGTTGGTTGAAATTTTAGGCTTTTTCAACTAAAAACTCTTTTTTGTTAGTTGCACTATATAATATCCTGATATTATGTAAATAATATCAATGGAACTTTAAAAATGTTTTATTTTGAATTTTAAAAAATTGAAAAAGATTTTTTTTAAAAAATGTGGAAACACTTTTAAAAAAAAATGTGCAAAAGAATTTGAACCGCAGCATTTCAGTAAAGAACGCTGAGAGCTAACCACTTCAACCACTCAAGTGTATTGTTCAATGAATGTTTCAGCACTATTTAATAAACAAAAGACTTTATAAAATGGCAAATAAATGCCATAAATCAAAATTAAGGAAAATGTTGCCACAATCAATTTTAAAGTAAAAGTAAAGTAAAATTTGATATATGTTTTGACATTACAAAATTTGAAGTTTACATTAGTTAGATATTTTTATACACTTTTGTTCACATTTTCTTATTTGAAAAGTGATGCAACCCTTTCTTGCTATTAATTTGGGTGTAATGGCTGCTGTGAGGTCTAAGCACGCACAAATGAATAACGACAGCAGCATTAAATTTAGTATTAAAATTTAAAGGATATAAATATTGTAAAAACATTTTGCAATTATTCAAATAATATTGTTATTTTTATTTAGATCAACAAGTGAGTTGATACAATTTCTTCTGCCAGACATTATGAAAAATTTTTTGCACTCAGAAAGAGTAGTGAGGGTTTCAGCGCTTCAAGTTGTTGCATTGGTTTTGGGGCAAGGTCTTGTTCATCCAGCTCAGGTTTGTTGTTGTACTTCATTAGTAATGACTTTTATATATAGAATTTTAGTTGTATCTTTAGAGAGAAAATTTTCTTAATGTTATTGAAGGTTTTATTTTTATTTCTTTTAAAAATGTTGAACAATAAAATACTTGTATTTGTTGTATATTTCAATGTTTTTTATTTGAAATGTTTTAGTGTGAAATTCCTTCATTAATTCAATTTAATTAAATCTTTTGCTTTTTTTTTTTTTTGTTACACCAACCTAGCAATAATATAAGAAGAAGTGTAAGGAGGGAAAAGCTAAGCTTGTATCCAGTGAAATGCTTCAAGTCTGAACCCATTGAAATAACAATTTTACCCTCAAGTTTTTTAAATAAAACTTGTGTTTTTTTAAGTGTCATATTTACTGTTATGTTTTAAAGTAAATATTCTTATTCTCGGTTTGTAGTTTGGTATCTCAAAATTTGTTTTGTGATAAATTTATTATGGGTTTCTCATAAAAAATTGGTGAGTTTTTCACCATCAGGTATTTATATTTGTTGTTGTATTTGGCATGATAGTTTAAACTTATGACATGGCATGATAGTTACTTATGACACGGCATGATGGTTAATCTAATAACATGGCATGATAATTAATCTAATGACATGGCATGATGGTTATTTTAATGACATGGCATGATGGTTAATCTAATGACACAGCATGATGGTTAAAACTTATACTTAAATTACTCACTTAACTAAAAATTTAAAAATTATTTTATAAGTTATATCAAGTTAATGATTGTTATATCAAAGTTATATCAAAATTTTATATCAAAGTTATGAAAAATGAAGTTTATATTAAAGTTAATGGTTAATGTTAATAGAATTTGTATTAAATTAATTTAATTAAGTAAATTAATTTAAGTAAGTGGTAAGTTAATGTTAATAGAAGCTATATCAAAGTTAATGGTTTATAGAAGGCTTGAAAAAAACTAAAGTAAAAAAATCAAATAAATAATCTTAAAATTTTTAATCTACTACCACTCTTACAATTACCACTTATTTGAAATTGTTTCCATTTCTTTTAAACATTACCTGCCAATCTCAATTTATAAGTTTTTACTGTTGTTTTTTCCCTCTCTGGGTAGAAGTTAGTAAGATTTTATTTTTAAGAATAAAAAATCTCACTCATATCAATTAAGTAACTTATAAGTTGACATTTAAAAGTCAAGTTAATTAATTAATTTAATTAATTGAAAAGTTTATTATCAAAAAAAATAGTAAAGATAAGTGAGTCAAAAAAAAAAAAAATTTTTTTTCTCTTAAAGAACTTATAAGCTGTGATAAGCAAACCTTTTTTGGTCTAAGAATTAACAATTATTCTTCTTAAAAAATTATAAAACTTAAAAGCTGTGGTAACATTCTGTAAACCTTTTAACAGTTGAAGATTTCTTTGTTATCAGTAGATTTTAGTGATAAGTCAGGTGTAAGCTAGTAAGAAGAATATTAGTTACTGATATAAAATTTGTATTTTTGGTAAAATAGTTCATGGAAAGCATAACAACTTATATTGTCAACGATAATTTTATAATCTGAATTAAATGTCTCTAATCTTGTATAAGGATTTTTCTTTGTTATATTTCTATGTCACTACCTACTGTATCTTTAAAGCAGTGGTTCTAAGATTTTTTTCGGCTTTTAAAAACCTTAAACTCAATTTTTTTACCTTTTTTTTTAATTTAGTATTTGTATTTTTAGTGCATTCCATATTTGATTGCAATCAGTACAGATAATGAACATGTTTGCCATGCAAAAGCAGAACAATGCTTAAATGATTTAGACAGCCGCTTTCCAGGTTTTATTCACATGAAAGCAATACCAGGTGTAAAAATGGCATATCAACTTCAAGTTATTATACAAAAAGTGAGCTTTCAGTTGTATATTTTTAATTGATTAAAAGTATTTATGTTTTTAACACAATCTGTTGTGTTAAAGAAAAAAAAGAAATATATTAAATATATAAATTCAGTTTGAATGTTATTTATATTAGTTTAGAACAATATTCACTTTGTTATTTAGAATAATGGTGGTTATTTGGTTGGTTATCGTGAAATTGAAAACAAAATATCATTAGTCAATCATGTTTACACTTTATTGCAATCAAATAAACAACATCGGCGCTATTTTTTAAAAACCTTACTGCAATTGGTTGAACACCAGGTTTTTGTGTTGTTGTTGTTGTTGATGATGATGATGATGATGATGATGATGATGATGATGATGATGATGATGATGATGATGATGATGATGATGATGATGATGATGATGATGATGATGATGATGATGATGATGATGATGATGATGATGATGATGATGATGATGATGATGATGATGATGATGATGATGATGATGATGATGATGAAAATTCATTATATTTTTAGAAAACACCCAATGACTTTCAATATTTTCTTGTGGAAAACTTAGCATATTTAAACTATAACACATGCGAAGAGCCCTTATTTCTTATACATAATATAGACAATGCAGTTTCAGTAACTGGGACCAATCTACTTTTTAATTTTAAAAAGGTTTTTAAATATTTTTGACTTTATATTAATTTGATTACACTTAGCCAAAGTTTGTTAAAGTTTAAATATCATCTATGTTTAAGAAATCAATCACTCAATCAAATTTTAAAAATACAAATGTTTAATCTGGTTGTTTTCTTTCATTAATCATAGAAATGATTAAAAATTACTATTTTAAAAAGACCTTTATTTTTATTAAGACGTTATTATTAAAATAAAAATTTTTTTTGCAGCTTTTTCAAAAAAAATGTTTATTCAATTTAAAAATATTATTTTTTTTTCATTTCAATAATTTAGTTTCACTTTTTAAATAAACAACAATTTAAATAAAAAATTTTTCATTAATTCAACAATTATTAGAAGTAATTTGTAAAAGCGTTTTATGTAACTTTAATAAAACATTTCAAAAGATAAGTTTTAGAATAATTTATTTCAACCACAATTAAAAACGTAGCAAAAAGTAAATTTCAAAAAGTCAGTTATAAATCTATGCATAGGTGCTAAATCCATTACAGTTTTCTGGCTGGCTAAGTTGTTGTTCAGGGATAAATCTGGTTATTAATGTAGATATAGATTTGCATGTAATAATGCAATGTAGATATAGATTTGTATGTTATGTATTTTTTTTTTAGCAAAAAGTCTCATTTTCGGCCAGGCCCCTGGCGGAAAATGACACACCATGATGGTTAATCTAATGACATGGCATTAGATTAACCAAAAAAAAAAACTTTTTGCAAGCGTGGCCCTTTCCCTAGAAAAATTATAAGATTTAGCAGCAGTTAATAGCTGGAATTTGTAATACTTAATTTATTATATTTTTATGCTTACATTTACTATTTATCAAATACTGGCATACATTTATATATTTTTAAATTCTAATTTATTTCCAACAAGATTGCAAGCAACCACTATTAAGTTATGAGTTACTTTAAAATACTAGGGGGAATGCAAGAAGCAAACTTGAGTCAAGTTCAACTTAAACTTTACTTAGTAACCAATAGCGGCAGAGTATTTTTTGAGGGGAAAGCCCAAACTCTGTCGCTATTGGTTGCAATGTAAAGCTCAAGTCGAGCTTGACTCAAGTTCGCTTCTTGCATTTCACCCTAAGAAACGCATAACTGAAGATTAAAAAAGTTTTAAGTTGTATAAAAAAGGAAAACATGAAGATGGGTAAGAGTTATAAGGTTTTTTTGATGTTGAAGGAAAAAAATTGGATTTGTTTTTTTAGATGAAGGGACAAATACAGTAAAAGGATGAAACTTGTTGAATAAAAAGCCAAGCAAGAATGAATTTTTATTGTTATAGAGATGATAGCTCATTTGAGCATTGACCATGATTGTGTTTGTAGAAAAAAGAAATAAATGCGACCTTACAACAATCGGAGAGTGTCAACAATTAGAGAGCTTGGCAGATAAAGAAGGTCTAGTTACATTTACAATGTACTTAGTCTGAGAGTATAAGGGTTGTCATTTTTCAATATAGGAATGCCAACAATATTGCAATATTTTTTTTGCAATAAATGAATGAGTTTTTTTGTCTAACAAAAATTTGTGCATTTTAAGTCCAGAATTTAAATCCATAGCCACTGCAAGCCTTAGGCTTCTACAGTAGAAAGGTCAGGTTTAAAAAAAGGATGCTTGTTCTAAGCAACCAAAAAGTAAAAGTGATTTTACTTTTTGGTTGAGACAAGACAAGAGTATAAAGTTGAGTCGTCAGAAAATATACCCATTTTAGATTTCATGAAGATTGTTATTGTAGATAGAAAACAATACAGAAGCAAAGATAGAACCCACGGGTACCCTGAAGGTGACCTAAGACCTTATATCATATCCCATGAAATTTTTTTTTTTAATTTTGAAAGTAGTCCATGTGCACATTCCAAAACTTATTAAAAAATAAATCATTTTTTGGTAGCTTTTTGAGAAAACTAAGCTTTAAGACATGTTTTAACTACAGATTAATGCCCCTCTGACTCACCCTAAGACCCCTGCAAGTGAATTAAATAGCTGTATATAATTTGCTTGATCTAGTGGATTGACATTTTGAGGATCGTATTTAGAAATAAATTCTGATAATAATTTGGGCATTCTAGTCAGAACATTGACTAGTTTATAATTTTTTTAAAGTTAGCTTTCTTTTTTATTGAAAAGGATAATGTAGGTCTACAGGAATACAATGCCCATATAGAATCATCTTTGGATTTGTAATGAAAGAATTCTAAATAAAATAGTTTTATTTATAAAAAAAAAGAAAATATTTACTAACAAAAAACACTACATTTAACTATAAATGCATTGTGTTGTACACACAGACAGCTCTTCGCAAGACTTCTTTAAATTTGGCATTGTGTTGTCCTACCTTTCGTATTTACCAAAATTGTTTGAAGTCTTGATGGACTGATTCCAATGCTTGCTCAGTCCAATACCCTAAACCTTAATTCAAAATATTTAATATTATTATTTTTATATGTTAAAATTTAAAAAGTTATCAGTTTTCTAAATATGCACTCACCAAACTTTCCTCCTTTCATAACAATAAACTCTTCAACATGATGCTCCACTATATGAACTTTAAGAGAAATGTTTGAACCAAGATCTTTGAAACTTTGTAAAAATCTTTTAATATAATCAGAGTAGTTTGGATTTAATGTTTTCCCAAAATACCCACCAAAATACTCACTAAGGTCTCTCAAAGCTTTCATATATATGCCACCAATAATATTGTGGTCATCCAGATATATTTAAAAGCAATCAAGTTTTTTTAAAAACTGGTTGGATCCATTTCCTTCTAACCTGTGTTTACCTTGATAAGGTACGCTGGCAAGAATAATTGTAGATAGATAACTATTTACAAAATGAAATCCTTGATTAGTGTCCTCAAACAAGTTTTTTTCAATTATTTTGAGTAACTTGTCTACTATGCCTAGCAAAATATGTAAGCCTATTATATTAACAATTTCTAAGATCTTCTTTGTTACATTTCCAGTCAATAAAGGAGGATTAACTACGTTACTAAAACTTTTAGCTTTTGAAATGTTTCTTCCAGCAGCCATCCATTTGTTATACCACTCACACAGAGAAGTTAGAGAATATGACTTAGCTCTCAGCATATTTGGCGATTCTGTTTCACAGAATGGACAAGGATGCTTTGAAGCTGCTGACTGCTTTCCAACCATTAGGAGAAGAACCTTTAGATCTTCTGAAATAGAGTAATCCAGAGAATTAAGTTTTAATTTATCCAACAACATTTTTATGTTTGCATAATTTTCATCAATAGAGGGTATTACTGCCAAAACTAAAGTTTTGTAAACCCTAGTATACTTGAATTCTTTAAATCCATACTTATCAGAATATTTCACTCTTTTCTTTTCAATTGAATGTACTTCAAGTTCTGGCTTTAATGTAATTGATAAAGTAACCTTAAGATAGCTTTGCCCTCCATCTACCCCAATCTTAACATCAACATTCTCTGGTTCAAGAGATCTACGTCGCAAAACTGTTGCAACAAACTTATCAACATTATTGCAAATTACACCAGGAATAATTTTTTCAATACATTAAATAATTACAAAACAACTTCCAAGTAACAAACAACTAAGTCCAAGGATGATGATTTATTTTAAATTATCAACTTTTATATTAATCAAATACAAAAATGTAAAATTAAAATGTTGCATAGAATAATATTTTATTATAATATATTATTTTTATAGAGCTTTTTAAGAAGCTGAAAATCTTTAGTTAAAATAAAACACTATTTATAAATTTCTATATATATATATATATATATATATATATATATATATATATATATATATATATATATATATATATATATATATATATATGTATATATATATATATATATATATATATATATATATATATATATATATATATATATATATAAATTTAGTTATACCACTTTTTTATTATCTCCAGTATCCTGTTTAGACTGAATCAGCATAAGCTCAGCATCAAACAAAAACAATAGATTTTTGTTTTCTTCTGTTAACATTTCAGAATAACAAGGCTCGACAGATTTTCTTCCTCCATTCACTTGTATAAATCGGGCAATTTCTAATATCTTATTGTCACTAGTAAATTTAATGTTAAAAACAAATGTTTTTTTAAAATAAATTATATTTCTTGAATTTAGTAGTAGACAATCTATACCTTGTATAAAGTTTGCTCTGTATTTGTTTCAGTTTTGAGTGTGAAAAGTACAGTGTTTTTGGTTTAACTATTCCAATAGAAACAACAAGTTTCTTAGGGCTAAAGGTGTTCAATGTTATTTTTGCATGGGTTACTAAATTGTGGTGGATAAAACCTTTTCTTTAGTAACAGGTGAGGTTGATTGTACAATATGCATCAAATTCCTTTGCTTAGCTAACTTTGTGCAAGGATGTTTAATACCTTTTCCTATTTGTTGAAAACAACGTCTGCAAAGAACAAGATTCATTGGTAGTCCAAAGATTCAATTTACTGTGACTTAGATCAATATCTGCATTAGTTTCACAAGATACCATTAGTGGAAGAGTTGCTGTTTCAGTACTATTTTTACGCCCATTAACACAAATAAAACACTCACATTTCCCACCTCGAATAACTCTAGTATTAAGGCCTAAAAGTAATAAGAAGTTATTTTTTTAGTGCAAACAAAATATTGTTTATAATAAGAACAATAATAATGCAAAACATAACTGGTTTTTATTGGCTTATTTTCTTATAAAACTTTACCTTCGTACTTAGGTCGAGCATTGAATAAAAATCTTTTTGAATGTATTTTCTCTTAACTCACTAGATTTTTTCTGCAATGAGAACATAACGTTTTAGGCAGATCAGGGTTTTCAACAGAATAGTTTTCCCAAAAAAATCTCTTGATAAGATTTTCATAATTTTTTGCTTGTTTTGGACCTGGTTTATTGCATTTGGTTTGAATGCATCATAAATCGTTACTTTTTTTTATACAGCATATGCAAAAGCATTTTAAAAACTTATTATGATCTTTAGCAAAGTATGGCATTTCTTTTCTATTATTGAGAAATAGTTCCTATATTTTTTAATCGGCTTTTAAATTTAAGTCAATATAAGTTTTTTACTTAATTAAATAAAATCGCTGTTATTGCGAAAATGTGTTTATAAATATTGTTAAAGTCTTTTAAAGCAACAACAACTATAAGCCAATCGGAAACTAATAAATATTATTATAGCCAATCTCGCTGCTGCAATTGCAGAAAGTAAACAACTATATTGGCTGACAGAAAAGTATTATTTTAATACAAAAACATCGTTATTTATAAAACTTCTTACTAAGTTTTCTAAAAAGGTTCCAACAAATGATTCAAATTTTGATAGTTTCAGAATGTACAAATGTACTACTTTCAACAACAACAAAAAAAAATTCATGGGACTTGATATAAGGTCTTAGGTCACCTTCAGGGTACCCGTGAACCTAGTGGTACACTTTAAGTTACTTTAAATAAAGAAGAGGGTAGGCTTTCAAGAATAACTTTACTACTGCAGTTAGAAAGAAATAATTTAATAGCCTCAAAACCTTTATATAAAGAAACTAATAATAGAGTGATGACTAATTGTAGGATAGTTGGAGAGGTCAAAGTTTTTTCTAGAGTTTTTAAAAATTGGAACCACTTATTTAGCACTTTTTAAAAGTTTAGCAAAAATTGAAGACAGTTCTGGAAAATACTTTTAAGACTATGATGGAAATGTATTCTGGAATACAAACTGTAGAAGTGTTTAATTGAGAAATAACTTTAGCATTGAAAGCCAGGGTAATTTAAATGTTTAACAATGGTTTAATCTGTTTAACTGTCAGGAAGAGTATGGCCAGTATATTCAAGAGTCAAATTAGAATAAGATTTTTTTGCAAATAACTCTGCTTTATTCTGGGGAGAAGTAAAAAGATCAGACCCGTGAATTAAAGATTAAATGTTAGACTTACTTTAGTTAATGACATTATTGAAGACTAACCAAAAGTCTCAAGAACTTAACATCTAAGATATGAGACAAGATTTAGTAGAATGAGAATAACAGAGCTTAACATCAGACAGGACTTTTTTACATTGGCTTCTTGCAATAATAAAAAGACATTTGTTCTTAAGAAAGATGTTCTTACAAAAAAGATGAAATAAAAAAGGTTAATGTTTAATAAAGCAACTGCTCAAGATAGTGAAAAATATAGAGTAGAATGAGGCTTGACTTAAAATTGAAGAGAAGTAATAAAAGCTTCCAAACTTTTATTCCAGAAGGAATAAAAGCTTCCAAGATGCACTTTATGCATACATATCATCGATATAAATATATATGTTTGTGATTTATTTAGATGCTTTAAATATTTTTTCTTTGTTGTATAAACTTTTGTATTTATATGGTGTAGTATTTGCAGAAAAAGAAGATTTTCAGATTGATGTGTGGTGTGACTCTAACAAGACAAGAAAAGGATGCATAATCTCAGACAGAAAAGACAAACAAAAAAGGTTGTATCGAACAATGTTTGTTAGAAAAGAATGAAGTAATTTAGGTATCAGCATGTAGAGAGGTAGAAGCTTTAGTAGAAAATGGTAGTGGTAGAAGTAAAAAAACTTGAAGAGAGTGCCTTTCATATTGTATGAATAAGCTTTAGTACAGAAAAAAAAATACTCTAGATTGTTTATATTAAAGTAGCAGTATAAAAGAGGAAGGCTTAAGTCTGATGATGATGATGATTATAATGATGATGATGATAATGATGATGATGATGATGATGATGATGATGATTATCATGATGATGATGGTCATAATCATGATCATCATCATCAGGCTTTAGCTGTCCTTTTTTATGCTGTGTGTGGTACATACATCAACATGTTTTGTTGATGTATATTTTTTTGTGTTGTTTTGTTAAGGTCTCAATTATTTTTATTCGGACCATAGAGAAAACTTTACTTTTTCGAAATTTTGATTTCGTTATGGTCTCAAAGTTTAAATTCGGACCTTAGAGAAAACTTTGCTTCTAAACAATATTTTTTCCTGCTTCTTACATCATTTTAATATAATGCCTTATTTCATTATTATATCACCCAAAAATATTTTTTGTTAAACACTAATTTGTCTAATATTTATTTGGGTCTCATTTTAGTATTTAGTTAAGCTTATTACAGCATTTATTAATATATATAAAGTTCTTTAACTCATCTTTATTATCTTTAACATCAGGATGTAATGACCAAGACACAGTAGATTTAGAACTACTAAGAAATTCATTTCTCTTTCTTTCAGCACATGCTTGGAACTTTTTAGTTTCTTGCAAATCAAGCAATCTAATGCATATATTTTGTTCTATGCCCTGTTTTCTGAGCAAGAAATGTCTGTTCCTTAAAGGTTTTGGATTCATTTGGGTAATTTTAGTCTGTAAACATGTAGCACTTACAAGCTACTATATTAAAATAAAGGCACGACTCTTCTTTAAATTTCTCCACATTTTAGTTGCAATGCTTTTCTCTATACTTTTATAAACAGATTTAATATATTTTATTTTTAAAGTACTTCTGATATGCATCAATAATGATATGCAAATCATATAAAGGATACTTTTCTTTGAAACTGTCAGAATAGAAACAGAATAGAATACAGCATTTGCAGCTTTTCAAAAATTTACTCTGTGATGGAAGAAAATGAGGGTTCATTAAGAAAATTAGTTGTTTCAGATCCAAAATGCCACCTTTCGTAAGTGCAGCATTTAAAACAACCTCTTTCTTTGGAATAACTTTAACAAAAGCCAGTCTTTTTATATAATGTGAATTTCTGACTCTTCTGTCCCACATACACAAAAGCAGCATTATTTAGTATACCCTAATTGTATTCCTAAAAGTATAGCATTGACTTTTAGATCACCACAAATTTTCTATTTGAGTTCATTGTAATTAATTGGGTTGAGGAAAACTTTTATTTTATGTAAGTCTCTTTCATGTAAACCTCATGGTCGATAGGGAAAGAAGGAAGACAGTTCAAGCTTAGATGAGTCTTTGAATAACCTCCATTCAGTTGGATTATAGTTCAAGTTAAGAAAATGCATTATTCCAAAGACATCAATGCATGCAACAAGATTGTTTTTCTTCTCAAAAAAAAAGAAAGAAGATTCTGCTGCCGTTTTCTGTAATGTGAAACCTTGTCATCAAATTAGAGAAAATTCCACTGCTTTAGTCTTGACCCTAGAAGTTTTGACTTTTCCTGTGACAAGTCTAGATCTTGAACAAGATCACTTAATTCTGCTTGACTCAATCTATGTGGAAAATTATCTGTTAACATAAAATCAGGATCATTTGGTGTGGAAGGCTTGTTTTCTTTATTTTCTTCTATTTCTACTTCATTTCTACCATCATTTTCTGTTTCAAACTCACAACTTTGTGATGGAGTAGAAACTGTGATGGAGTAGGAACTATCCAAATGTTGAATATATTAAATGGCTTATAGAGGATTCAAATATTTAACTGTTTCTATTTTCTTAATTGACAAACCTGACAAAATAGCAGTCATCTGTATGGTTTTTTTTTGTTTTGGCTCCTTCCATACCATAGGAACAGCAAAGGATCTTTTTTTATTTTTTAACCATTCTCGTAGTGTAACCAAACAAGAGTTACAGCATATATGTGGACCCCATGACTTATCCTGGTCCCCTACCTTCATATCGAAGTAATGCTGGTAAGCAGTCTTCACAAGAGATGTCATAGTTCTTTCCTGTGTGGAAAATATTGTTTCACCACAAATGTAACAAAAATTGCCCATTAAGTTTAAAGACTTGGCATGTTGATTTCTCAAATTTTACACTAGTAAATGAAAAAAACAAAAAAAACATGAATTGATTAGACCAGAAACTTTGCCAAATACACATAACTAATATCACAAGTTTCAAGTATGAATAAAACATTATGGAAAGTCAAAAACAAAAAAATATATTTTTTCAAAAAATGATAATTAATACCCTTAAGAAAAATTTTTTGCTTTTATTTTTTAAACTAGAGCTAATATGTCATTTTCAATGTCATTTTTGAATTCAGCAGATGGAAATACGTAAGAAATTACTAATTTTGGTACCAAAACAAAATCACTCTGCAGTGTAATCTATAAAATCTGTTAAAGTACTTGTCAGTACTAATAATTGTTGTTATATACTCACATATAAATCAGGAAATTTTCAATTTAAAATAGCAACTCCAATTTATACACAGGTCATTAAAAATAGTTTTTAAACTATTATATTATAATGTTAATATATTCTTGTATAAAAGTCAAAACTAAATTTTTACACAGAATAGAACACATCCTAGGGTTGTTTTGAAATATTTTATGTTACTTATTTATAGAAGCAGTTTTTCCACTCTACTCCAAAAGCATCATTAAAACTTTGCTTTTTTTAATCCCCCTATTTTTCATACTTACATTAAAATTAACAATGAAGAAAGTAAATATATTAGAAATAATAAAGAAATAAAAAGAAAAACAACTTTCTTTAATTTATCAGTTTATAAGAAAATGTGAAATATATAACCATAAATCTTTTGATTGTTAGCTTCTTCGATGCTCAAGAATTGATGAAGAAGATGTTGAATTACATGGTTTGTGTTGTCATTGTTATTTTTGTTTCTTATTATTGTTTTGTGTTCTATTAATTGTTTGTGCTATTATTGTTTGTGTTCTATTATTTAAGCAGTTAAATAAACAAAACATATTGTTCTCTTTTATAACTATACAAATTTTCAGTATAAATAAGTTTAAATACACACTTTTATTTAATGACATAAAAACTTATGACTTTTAATAAAAGTGTAATTATAAATAAATTGAACTTTCTATATAGTGTTTTTTTGTTTATCACTGTTATTAGGTTAAAAATTTTTGCTTCACTTTTAAGATTTTGATATTCCTGAGAAAGATATTTCTTGTTTATTAACATCATCATTTGGAAGCATGTTATTACTAGAACTTAAATGCTACTTAAAGTCTATTTTTGGGCTATCAGAAAGGTTTGTTCATATTTTAGAATATTGAGTTTTATTTTATTTGAAAATAACATGAGCGTCAATGTATTTTTAGCATATTTTTTAAACAAACGAAAACACCTAAAAACTAGATTGTTACTGATTATTTGGATGACAGTTTGTCACATTATTTTTAATGTTTACTGTCATTTTCAATTCATTGCTTATTGCCAATACTTTCAATGTCATTTTCTTTTTACTCTTTTATAATAATTTAGAAAGTACAAAATAGTATGTCATCAAAATAATCAACTATTAACTAAAAAAAAGACGTTTAAAGTTATTAAAAATATTAGTTTTGTATATGAGTAGTCAAATAATCAGAACTTATTAGATTTGTAATAAAGTAGTTAAATCAGTAGTAGTCAACATTTTCATACTTAATGCCCACACTTACATCTTTTTTTTATTTTATTATTCTGATTCAATTCCAACAAGGCTGCAACAACTACTATTAAGTTGGGAGTTATTAGAAAAAAAGAATAGAGTTATAGAGCAAGGAAATGGTTGACAGAAGACATGAAGGTTGTATGAGTCAGGTAAACATCAAGATGGGAAAGAGTTCCAAATGGTTGAAGTGTGGGGAAAAAAGCTAGATTAATAAAAAATTTTGGCACATGCAGAGACAAATACAGTAAAAGAATGAGACTTTGATGAATGACAAGTCAAGCAAGAATGAGTTTTAGTTTATGGAACTAGAGATGAAAGCTTCTTTGAGCAGCGGCCATGATAGTACTTTGAGCAGCAGCCATGACAATCGATAAGAGGCTCATACTTAGCAGATAGACCAACTGCGTTTACAATATATTTTTTGGCTTTGTCTGGAAGACAAAGAGCATCATTAGAAGCACCAGCCCAAATATGACAGCAGTATTCCATACAGTGATGAAAAAGAGATTTGTAAAAGTAGAGAAAGGAATAAGGAGAGAGAAAATGGCAAGCACAATAAAGAGAAGTAACCTTAGCAGGCGCTAACTTAGCAATCAATTGTATATATGGTTTCCATGAAAGGTCAGTAGTAAATGGTAATCCTGATTGGTAGTCAACCTTTTCATACCTACTGCCCACTTTTTTATCATGATTGGTAGAAAAGTAATTCTCATTCCACCTGTTTTTAAACAATTTATTAAGTAGGGTTACAAAAAATTAAAAAAAGTACAATACTTTAGTACATTAAAAAAATAATAACAATTATTATGATCAACTTATTGCATCAAAATTTTATTACAATGAAGTATAACAAAATACTTATGTACACAGTATCATACATCCTCTACTATATATAACTAATTATAAAACACCTATTTTTATATTAATTTATTAATACTTTTTTCAGAAATATTTATTTGATTTCCACATCTTCAGTCCAAAATATCATCAACTTTAGTTATACACCTTGGTTCAAAACACCTTCAAATTATTTTTTCATGTTAGTTTTAATTTTGTTAAGTACTAAAATTTTTAAATCTCCTCTGGAGTTATCTTTTATAAATGATAGTTCAGAAAACTGATAAAAATTTTTATTTAATAAATTATGACAGAAAATTTTAAGTTTATCAATAAATAATAACACAATGCTTTGGCTACTTATAAGAGTTTTATAAGTGCTGTGGATTTATAAATTAGTATCATTATATCTCTTAAGAATATCTCCTAAAGAGTGGTTTTATTGTTACTTTCAAAAATTGTATGATACTATGGTATGCTACAAAACGATTTAAGCATGTATCCTTTGACAGCCATTAAATTTTTGTGTGTCAAAGTAATCTTATAAAATGTCTTTAACCTGGCACAGCTGTCGAAACATTCTATCCTTTTTGACATTAGATTTGATTTTATTTACAGCTTGAATTACTATACTTAATGATGAATAAAACCACCTAATTTTTTTTTTAACAAGGTGTTGTTTGTGCACCACAAAATGAATACATGAAAAATTTGGATCTTCAGCGTTTCAACAAGCAATAATTTCATAATAGTGGCCTTCCATTGCCAGTGCTCCATTGGTAGCACATGCAAAAATATTATTCAAAGGAAGCTTTTCCCTTTGAGTATTTTAATTAACCAACCATTGTACAAAACTAATGTATTGGACAATACAATGCATACAATGTTTGATCTAATGCTGTTTAATACTAAAGCATATAATGTATGCATCTTATGCAAAAACTTGTCACAAATATGTATTTAAAACTGTTAAGTCAGCAATTGCTTCTTTTTGTTTATTTTTGTTCTATATTTACACCTTAAGGATAATAAATTTAAACTAAAGAATTCATTTTTCTTTTCCAGTTTAAATTAACTATAATTATAACATTGTAACTATGGTTATAACATTTTAACTATGATTATAACATTGTAATAATGATTTTATATGCTAGACTAGTATTGTACACATTAGATTAGGATTTTATTTTAATCTTTCATTTTATTTTTCCCCCCTAGATCTTAAAGAATAATGAAAATATTCTTTAAGATCTAGGGGGGAAAAATAAAATGAAACAAATTACAAACAGTAGAATAGTATGATAGATTACAGACAATAGTATAATAGACAATAGAATCTATAATTTAATATTTATTTTTACAAATGATAATGTTAAAGTTCCAAAAAACATCTCGCTTTATGAGTTTTGAGTTTTGGTTTTTATAAATAAAAAAATTTTCTGCTTTAAAATATTGTTTAGCTGTAAATATATAACCAAATATTTTTAATTATATTAGTTGTTACATTTTATAAAACCATTACCTTGTTATGCTTTTTATTATATTTTTATTAAGAATAACTAACTTCCACTTCAGATTTGCTCAGATAATGAATGTTTTCATGTTTACTTAAAATTACGACAGTAATTCTTACCTTAATTTGCATTTTTAAAGTTGCAATTTGCAAAATTACTTACCTTATGTTGCATTATTTTGTGAGTGATCTCTTTTTAACATGAATTTGATATGTATTATAGTCCATTTAGAAATATTTTAACATTAAATAAAGTTATGGAAAAAATTAAATCAAACTTAATGTCAAAATTAACTTTTTATTTTCAACTTCTTTTGAGACTGTTATGAACGATTATTTACTGTATTTTTTGTTATTATCTCTAGTTTACTGCAGATATTCATATGTATATGTATATGTTGCAGATGTTCTTATAATGTGTTCTACAAAACTGAATCAACTTTTGAATTTCCTATGTAAAACATGCGCTATGTATATTTTTAACTTCTAAAAGTTAGCTTAGAACCTTGCTAATAGCTATAGCTCGCTATAATATAACTTGAATATAAAAGTTTTTAAATATTGACTTGAATAAATAATAAACTTGAATGTAGTTTAAGAAGTTAACCTAAAACCTTTTATAATAGCTTTTATAATAGCCTCTATGATTTATAACTTGAATTATAAGGTGAATATAATTAATCGATAGCATATCATGTTTCATTATATATATGTATATACATATATATATACATACACACACACACACATATATATATATATATATATATATATATATATATATATATATATATATATATATATATATATATATATATACATATATATATGTATATATATACATATGTATATATATGCATACATACATACATACATACATACATACATACATACATACATACATACATACATACATACATACATACATACATACATACATACATACATACATACATATGTATGTATATATATATATATATATATATATATATATATATATATATATATATATATATATATATATATATATATATATATATATATATATATGTATGTATATAAATACATACATACATACATACATACATACATACATACATACATACATACATACATACATACATACATATATACATATATGTGTGTGTGTGTGTGTGTGTGTGTGTGTGTATGTGTGTGTGTGTGTGTGTGGAAAGTCTTGTACACTATATATGTCAGACGACATCTTGAGGCTTGGTCTCCATATCTACAAGGAGATATATGTATGCTAGCTTGTATTCAAGCATACAGCATACAAACAATCCTATAAATTAAGCTTAAGTCATATGAGGAGAGGCTCCATATCCTTGGACTCATAACTCTTGAAGAAAAAAGAAATCATAATGATATGATTCATCAGGGTAAAATATGAGTTCATGAAAAATTTCAGCTATCTAAAATAAAAAATGGCAAGCTAAATCGACTTTGAAAAAATGCAAAAATATGCAAATTTTCTTAATTTTTATATTTTTCTGCAATTTAAAATTGTTTATATAACTAAACTGTATAGAGTCACTTACTCACTACTGAAATTTAAATCAATAATGTACTTATTTTGATCAAACTTTTAAAGCGCAGTTTTCCATACTTATCATAAGTGTTTTACATTTATCGTACACTTATTGTTGACACTTATCGTATATCTCAAAATCTCAGTTTTAAGGCTTACTTTTTCTTTTGCAACTTTTTAATTTTTTTCAAAATTTTCATGTTTTCTTTTTCTTTTTTAGTTTTTTCATTTAATAGCTTTTTCTTCATAGCCAATTGTTTCTTTCTTAATCTTTCTTCCTCTACTTTTGACTTTTTATCTGCAGCTAATTGTTTCTTTCTTAATTTTTTATTCTTTATTTGTGACTTTTTTTGCAATTTTGTCTTTTGAATTTGCTGCCATGTTTCAAATGTTACAACCGATGGTAAATGTTCTATTTTGTGCTTGGACATTTTCCAAAAATGATAAAACTAAAGGTTTTTAAGATCATCTTTCCAATCTAAATGTTCGTCAGCTATTTTAAACTGCTCTAAAATACTTGGATCAATGCAGTTTTCAATAAAGTTTATGGGAGAGGATACTGATAAAGTCACGCTTGATTGATTCTTTTCTAAATAAGGAGTCGAAGCCACAGTTGACTCAGATAATCTATGAACAATTTTTGTGTAGTCAACACTATTAGCATCAAATGGAAATATTTCAGTATTTTTAAAACCA